AAGAACAAAAGATGAAGATGGTTTTTTTTATAATAAAAATTTAGGAAAGAGTCTTTGCCTTAATAGCACTTATATGATGCATTATGGCACTGTTAGTATCGAAATGAAGGCCTGTGGAGTTGGTGGTGTTATTACAGCTTTATGTGTAAGTATATCGATATAGATTAATTTTTCTAAAATCAATAGTGATTTTAGTAATACATATTTTCTAATAAAAAAAAATTAAATAATCTCTATTCTTTCAGACAATGTCCAAAGGAGGAGATGAATTAGATTGGGAAACAGTAGGAAAAGATATAACACACGCTCAAACTGACTTCTTCTACCGGGGTATTCACCAAACTGGAATTGATTTTTTCACTCATTCAATTCCCGGTGGTGGAACTATTGACTCTGATTTTCATACATATACAATAGAATGGGGTCCTGAAAAAACTATATGGTCAATCGATGGTTTTGTAGTTCGTACTTTGGAAAAAGATTCAACCCTCGAAAATGGTATATATAAATATCCAAGTCAACCTTCACATATTCAAATAAGTATCTGGGATGGTAGTGGTAGTAATGGAACTTCTCAGTGGTCTAATGGTCCTATCGATTGGAATAAAAGCCCCGGAATGTATTCATCTTATATAAAGAAAGTTAGCATCACATGCGATCCTAAATACAATTATGTTATTCACTGATAACAAATCAACGATATATGCATAGAATTTATTAGCGTTAGTGAAGTTTTTGTTGTTAATATTTTAAATCAACTAGAATTCTAGAATTTGTAAAATTTATAATTAATTAATCTTAATTTTGGTGACATTAGTTCGTTATTAATAATAATAAAAAAATAATATTAGATGTATGGTTTGATTTAATAAACGCAAACTAAATTGTGTGGTGCTCTATAAAAAGTTAGAAATTAACAAAAGAGTGAAATAATACTTGGTACAGTATAAGCATAAAGTCAATAATTAATGTTTTATCAAAGTTCTTTGGAACTATCTCTAACATTAATGCTCTAAATAATCAGATTAGCGAGTATATGGCACATAATAATGGTTATTGATGAATACAAGATTTCTTGAGAAAAGTTAACTTGGCGAGAATTACCTAAAAGTAATATAATTTAGAAGGCATCAGCTTATAAAATAAACTCAAAAAGAACATTTAAATCATTTCATTTTCGTTAATTATTTATAGCATCATTGTTACCCTACAACTCTTTATTAAGAACATCTGAAAATTTCAGTGATTTCTTAACAGATAAGGTTGAAAAAAATACATATTTAATCTATGCTACTGTAATTAATTTAAGCTTATAAATAATTCTAGTAAAAAAAAAATCTAAGACTCATTATTGAAACAACCCATCTAATCGTTCAAAAGTTTTACATTTTCTAAATGTATTAAATATCTTTCTCTTAAATATTAATTAATATCTACAATCGTCAATATAGAGTTATTATCAATTATTAATAATTGGTATCTGTAGTTTGCCCTTTTGTTTTATCACCATCATTAACGACCTTAGCCAAATAACTATTCCTTAATATTTGTTGTTTTAAAAACTTATCATTAAAACTCAAATGTAAAATAAACCTATTAGGTAATCCTGCGGGTTTTTCAATTGACCAAATTAATTCAGGTATTTCTCCTTTTAAGTACAATTCAATCTCTCGTTCGAAATTCATCAATAAAGTATATCCAACTCCTGCATAAGGTAACAATAATTTTCTTATATTATCTCGGAATGGTGCTGTTTCATTTTTAACCACATTTAAGTTGGGAGTAATCAGACTAAACATCGGTGGCTGTCTATCATGATAAAATGTAATAAATATATGCTTTTCAAATAGTCCTGCCAATTGATGCATCACATCAAGAAGTGAATTTAAAAAACCGTTAACATTATCAACTACAGCTTTATTGGCGAATGTCAATGGTGGAGTGTGAGAACAATCATCTTCTTTTTCTTCTTCTTCATCTTCTTCTTCAACATTTGTTGGAATTAAAAAATATTGCATCTCTTTTTCAAGTTCGGATCGAGTAAATGGAAACATACGTTGTGAAATAATAACATCTTTTGTTTCAAATTTTTCATTCGACTTGTTTAACTTTTTTGATTTTAAGCATGTTTGATTAATTAAATCTTCACAACAAGAAATTTGTTCTGGCCAATGAATCATTCCAGTTCGATAATATTGAAGGATGTGACGAAATAAATGTCCATCTCTATCAAAGAAATATTCGTTGCCATTTATCGGATGAAGCATTTCTTTGTTACGATCTGCGAACATGATCCCAAGTAATGTCTCTGGATATGCTGTTAAGGTTGATCGAAATGTTTCATACTTGAAATTAATAATTATATTAGTAAAAAAAAAAGAAAAATCTTTTAAGAAAAAATAGAAATACAGTATCATATAATCTTTTTCAATTTATACCTTAATTCCACCAACGTTCAATATAACCCGATCATCAACGTCCATTTTCTTTCCAACACCACTTTTGATATTAATCTCTTCATTCATAAAAGTTTTTTCAAGTTGATCTGATAGTTCATCTAACATCTTTTAATATAATCAACTTATTACGATAATTAAAATGATGAAAAAGTAAATAAATAGGTCTATAATAAATTAAATTCGACCAGAATTAAATTATAATGTCATATAAATTATATGCAGGGGATGCAGGTCAACTGCTCGGATTCGTTTTTTTTTAAATTTAAGGTAACAAAGATCCCACAAATATATATATATATAAGTATTATAATGAAGTCATGTGCCTATTTTTCGACTTTCGATTATAATGTTATAATAATAGTCTATTATTTCAATCGTAACAATTAAGTAAAATAATCAGTTCGACTCATTTACTATACTGTATAACAATAGTATTTATCCTAAAAATTTTTTGGATAAACTTATAAATTATCTACAGAGAAACGGCATTAATTTTTACGTATTCAAAGATTACATGATCGTCAATGCTAATTTTTAATTTTTATTATTGTGCCTTTTTTTTTTTTTTGATTATCATCCCTTGAAATTTAGCGTTAGAATTTTATATTAGCAGTTAGACAGTCAATTGAAATCCACTATATAAAGTACCCTAAATTTAAAAAATCAATATTGGAATTTGCGTCTAACCCAATGACGTGATTGATGTCTTTCGTATTTATACGTCAGAAGCGTTTTTTTATACTAGGCTTGTTATTTTAATTGAAATTGATACGTATATACGTACTGTATAATAATACGGTATCTGGTATGTTATGTCTTTTGTCTAGCCACAACTGATCGGTCAATACCCTTTAAATTTTTGGGGGTACAATCAAAATTAGGCTTGATATAAATAGACATGGATTCCGAGAGATCACAATAAGATTTACTAATATCGATATCGTATTGGTATTACTTGTATACGGTAAATCGTAGATCTCATGGTCTATTTAACACAAGTTTCGGATAATAGTTATTTTGGATTGCTCTTTCTCGACAATTACTTAATTACGCACAAATTCATAACAACGTAATTATTTTGAAAAAAAAAAAAAAAAAAATGTTTCCAAATATTGTTAACCTTGGTGCTTACGATGATGAGCAAGTTAAATTAATGGAAGAAATGTGTATTTTGGTTGATGAAAATGATAATAAACTGGGAGCTGATACTAAAAAAAATTGTATCCATTTACAACACATGAAACAACATGAAGGATTTTTTTTTTTTTTTTTTTTTTAACCTTTCAAATTTTATATATTAGTTCTTTCATCTACTAATCTCATTAGGTCATCTTATGGAAAATATTAATAAAGGACTTCTTCATCGTGCATTTTCTGTTTTCCTTTTTAATTCGGAGAATAAATTATTATTACAACAACGTTCCAATAGTAAGATTACATTTCCAGATTTATGGACAAATACTTGTTGTTCTCATCCTTTAAATACTCCACTTGAATTGGATGAAGATAATCAAATTGGTTAATATAATAATTTTTATTTTATATATAAATTCTTGTAAGTGGGAGTGGAATTTAAAAATGAATTTGAAATTTCTTATTTTATAATTTAATCGTAAGGTTAAAACTAGGATTCATATTTTATATTAAGGTTTAGACTATATAAAATTATTTATATCATTAATCCTAAAATTTAACATTTTTTTTTTCAAATAATTGAAGTGATTTTTTTTAAATATTTATAAAATATTTTGATAAATATTGTGAATGCTTTAATTTTTCTTCCGAATACTTTAATGTAACAATTATATATTAAGCATTCAAAGAAAATATTTACGATATTTAATCAATTATTCATAATATTTAAAAAATTACCTTCAACCATTGAATAAATTCAAAATTCCGCTCCTTTTTACAATAGATAAACTGGACATAAAAAAAAAACATGTATTTTATTATTACATTTAAGCAATATTAACTTATTTTTTAATTATTTTAATCAAAAGGTGTTATTCGTGCAGCTCAAAGAAAATTACAACATGAATTGGGTATTAAACCACATCAGATTCCTATTGATGATTTCGTATTTTTAACTAGAATCCATTATTTGGCTCCATCTGATGGTATCTGGGGTGAACATGAAGGTTACTTCAACAATTTCTATATTCTTTACCTTTACAAAAAATGTATTTATTATTAACAATCTTTTTTTTTTTTTTTTTTTTTTGCATTTAGTCGATTATGTTCTTATCATGCGGGCTGA